ACCAGCACCACTGCCACCCCCATCCTGCTCCCGGCCAGCCCACCTGCAGGGTCCAGCCCCACAGGGTCTAGCGGGTGTTCTTTTGTGTGAGGACATGACAGATCGTAGAAAAAAAAGAGACAAGGACCCAGAGATAAGAGAAGAATTCAGCTGGGCCAAGGGACCACTGCTATCAAGGGGCGGAGTCCAGCAGTGGCCCCAGCGCTTTGACACGCTGATATTTATTGTATACAAGGCAGGGGGCAGGGCCGGAGAGTGACTCATCTGACATGATTGGTAGGGGCCAAGCAAATCACATTCTTACAATATGTGGGAGAGTTCAGGGGGCCTCGTGGGTACAGTACAGAGGGCCCCTCCCTCTCAGGCAGCTGCTGCAAGGAGGGGAGGCGCTTACGTCAGTATCTTTCCATGCACTTATCAGAGAGAGCAAAGGCTTTTACGATTCCTCTGTTCTTCTCACAGCTTCTAAGAATTTACAAGGGGGCATTGGGTGGAAAGTGGAACATGAAGGTGGACAAGGTTGGTGACCATCAGAGCACAGCACCATGGAGAGGTGTTTAAGCCCCCGGATATCTGTGGGCCAGCTGGCCAATGTCAGACCTTCCTCAAGAGCTGGCAGAGCAGAGTTTTCTCTGAACTCCCCAGTGAGAAGGAAACTCCCTCCCCCTCACGGCCTGCTAAGCAACCGCCCCCCGCAAGACTCCCCCCAACGCTGCTACCACAAGGCATTTACTCTCGCCTCTTGATCACGTCTTGTCCCTTCAGTTCCGAATTATATTTCACCGGATTATGTCTATACTCTAAGAGAGGGCTGGGCGCGGTGGCTCATGCCTGTAATCCCAGCACTTTGGGAGGCTGAGGAGCTCACACAGGTGGACACCTGAGGTCAGGAGTTCGAGACCAGCCTAGCCTGGCCAACATGGTGAAACCCCATTGCTAAATAAATAAATAAAAATAAAAAGACTAGAATGTTCCTACACTAAAGCAAAGATTGATAAAGATGTAATGAGACTGATTATGTAATTGATTATGTGATTGAATCTAAGTCTAATCGGTGTCATTGCTGTAACTTACTCAGTTATTTATTATGCTGGGACAGATTATACCTTCAGTCTCTTGCTGTGGTACCTGGGCAACTTTCTTCCCACACCCACTGCCATCCCAGGCTGAGCCTGGGCCTCACACTGGGCCTGGAGGTGGAGCTAGGTGCCCAGCAGGCACTGGGGAGGACAGGGAGGCCCAGGTTCCCAGCTCCCATCCCTCCCTCTGGAGGCGCTGCTCAGGCAGGAGAGGGGCTTGGAAGGCCTGATCCCCACCCCGAGGGCCAAGGGTCACCTCTGTGCCGAAGGGCTCCTAGCTCTGTGGTGGGCCAGTGACTCAGCTCTGCCCTGGTGATGTGGCCTGCAGCCGAAGGGACAGGGTGGGGGGGACTGTGAAGTGGGTGGGACACACTGGGCTTCAGGCACCCAAGGTCCCCCAACAGGTCTAATGAGGCCACCCAAGAGGTCAGCCCGACCCAGACTGGCCACCAGCTGCTGCAGCTCCCTGTGTGGCTTTGGTCTTGGCATCTGATCCATGGGGGGGGAAGGGTCCAACGCTGGGACCCTGGGACTCCCCCTGAGGAGAAGTGTGGGTGGGAGGACCCCTGAATGGCTTGACAATGTGTGCACACACACAAGGGCACGGTATGGGGGCTGCTTTCCCCCATGCCAGGGCCTGGCCACACCTGCCTCTTGGTGGCTGGCACGCAGGGCTGGGGGGAGGAGTCTCAGAGCTCTGGAGGTGCCCTTCCCACCTCCGTCCCTAGAACGTGGAGGTCTCCAGGGCCAGCCATTCGGAGGCGGAGGAACCACAAGCAGGGGTTCTCTGCCTCTGAGACCAGCCACAGCCCCGTTTCCGTCCCCAGCCCCTGAAGAGCAGGGGACCCAAGGGCTCGGTGGGCCCACCTCGGAGGACCCCAGGACCCAGACACCAGCAACGCAACAAAACATGCACCAGTCACGACCTCACCAGCCCAGCTCTGCCGCCCCATGTCCGAGAGGTGTTCACTGAGGGGCTGCTGACCCCCAGACCATGAGGAGGGCCTGGGGCAGCGGGGTTGGCTCGACCCTGGGATTTGGCCCCGCCTGCCCAGGCCTGATAGGGTTGTGGGCAGGGTCCCAGAGGCCAGAGGAGTAAACAGTCCAAATGGTCATCCCAGGGCAGGGCAGGGAAGGGTGGCAGATTGCGGCAGAGCCTGGCCCAGGGCTTTCCCAGGCAGGCCCTGGTCACATGCTGATGACACGCACACGGCTCTCCCTGAGCCCCAGCACTTTGCCCAGGGGTCCTGCCAACCAGTCCCCGAAATGGTCAGTACACAGCAGCCTCTTCCTTCCTGGGTTCTGGCTAGATGCAAAGCATTAGAAGCACAGGGCTTTGGGCTACAGGTTCTTAGTGATCTGACTCAGTTCCACTGCTTCGGAGCCTACGAGACCCAAGACCCTGCAGGAGGCTTCCCGGGTTCCCCCCCCACACACCTCGGCTGCCGAGTAGGGGTGGGCCAAGGGTCTCTACAGAGAAGCCCTGGGAGTCCCTATTGGTTCCTTCACGGATCTGGGGGACACTCAGGGTCACAGGGCAACTCCTGTGAGCTCCAGGCTCGCCAAACCCCAAGCCCCAAAGGTGGGGCTCTGGGTGTTGTGCCCGGACCTGGGAAGTGGTGATGTGTGGCTGTCACCTCCGAAGCTCCCGGCTGATGGCAAATGCACGAGGCAAGGTGAGCCTACATGCATGTGCACTCTTGAAGGGTGCAGCGGTCCGGCAGAAAGGGCAGGATGTGCCTGGTTCCTATAAACGTACCACCTCCCTCTCCCTGGAGGCAGGAAGCAGGCCGGACCAGTGGCCTGTTCCAGCTCTCATGCACATCCGCCCTGAGCCCCCCAGCCAGACAGGGATCCTGCCCTCGACACTGGGTCCCCTGGGGGATCTGGAAGGAAACCTGGTCCTGGCAGGTGAGCAGAGGCCACGCCTGGGTTGGGAGGGAGACTTGGCCTCCAGGACCCCCTGGTGTTGCCACGTCAGTTTCAGGACTGGGAAAAGTGGGGTGCCCCCCGACAGACTGCATCGCCGGGGTAGCCAGAAGGGAATGTGGAGGAGGGCACGGGGTCCAGGGGACAGAGGGAGAGGCTGTGTCAGCCACCCGCAGGACACCTTCCCGGGGTCGGGGTGCTGCTGACCCTCACCAACCCCAACCTCTGCAGCCCTTTCCACCCGCCTGAGGGAGGCCAGGCCTGTCGGACCAGGGACCAAGTACCCTGGCAGGGCCTGCGGGTGGAGGAGGGCGGGCTTGTGGGACCCCAGGTAGCGCGAGGACGTCCCGGGTGGCATCTCGTCACGCCCACCCGTCGGGGCCCTCGGCGCTTCCCGTGGATTCTGGGCTGCCGTGCACCGGGCTCACCTGCACCAGGTCGAGTGTCACCGCGCCGTTCGCTGGCACCCGGGGTGCGCTCTGGGAGGCCGCGCCCTCGGGCAGCTCCGCAGAGGCCCCGCCCTGTCCCCGCCCGACTCCACGCCCCTGCCACGCCCCCTGCTTCCTTAAAGGCCCGCTCCAGCCAGTCGTGCCGGGCGCCCGGGAGTCTGGGCTGCAGGCAGAAGCTCGGCGGTCCCCCCTTCACAGCCGGGGGTCCCGCGGGCAGCCCGGTAGCGGGCCGCTGGCGCTTTAGTTGGCTCCATCCCGCGCTCCCTTCCAAGACCCTCCGGCCCTTCCGGGGCTGCCTCCTCTGTGGACCCGGGCCAGGGCTCCAGGCTTGGGGGGCGGGGCCCGCGGGACCCCGGCCCTCGCCGGCGCTCGGCCGCCCCCCTTCTCAGGGGTGGCCCCGGGCTCCCACCTCTCAGACCCACAGCCTCCAACGCGGGACCCACCAGCGTCTCTTCGCCCGCGAGGCCTTTCTCCTCCTCACCCCAGGCCACGGAAGATCTCATCACCCTCCAGGTCCCCTTCGAGTTCTCAGGGTGTTCCTCAAACCCCCTCTACTGGTTCTGCGCCCCCTCCTCCTCCCCTCCGAGGTCTTCCTCCCTCCTCCGTTTCTGGCATCCGGCCTTTTCTCCCCTTCTAGGCTCACCCAGCAGGGGCACCTGCCCGAGTTTCAGCCCAGCCAATCCCTGCCTGGCACCCCTCGGCCCCCTGGACCCCACTCAGGGGACCCCAGCTCCCCCAGCCCGGCGCATCAGAGCGAATCCACCCAAGGCTCCGGTGCCTCCAGCTCCATCTCTATCTCTCTGAGAGCCTATTCTCACCCCCTCGACCTGCCCATTCTCCCCCAAATCCCTCCCTCTGCGCCCCCTGCAGCCGAGCACCCTGTCCCAGCCAGCAGTGTCCTCATGAGATCCAGTGTCCTCCTGCTTACGGCCCTCCCCGGGCCTCCCCACCCCCGCAGTCCCACTGCCCATCTCCATCCAGTCCCCGTTGCTCTGACCCGTGGCCTCTGTCCTGCATGCTGGCCTCTGGCTGCTCCCATGCCTCCACTGCCTGCTGAAAACTCCCTGTCCAGCCCAGGGCCCCTGCACGCCATCCCAATGAACCCACACTACGTGCTTCACCCCGGGCCTCTTCATCTGTCCTCCCCCAGCTCATCTTTTGGGTCTGGGCTTGGGAATCAGTTTTCCCTGGACCTTTCCGGAAGCCCAAAATTAGTCTGCTCCCCCCCACCACCCCACCATCAGAGACCTGGACCCTCTCCTCCCTGACACCTGGCACCTGACACCTGCCAGGCACACAGGGTCACTCAGCGTGTCCTCAGAGAACCAAGTGATAAAAGGCTGAGAAAGCAAATGTCCGGACACATGGGACCACCTGGGCGTGAAGCTCATGGGTATTATTTTCCTTTTTATTTTTTTGGAGATATGAGTCTGGCTTTGGGGCCCACACTGGAGTGCAGTGGTGCAATCTCAGCTCACTGCCACCAAAGCTGAGTAAGGTGCCAGCAGGCCAGGGCTCTGGTGAGGATGGACACAAACAATGCTTTTAAAGTTTTCAGACTTTATTTCACAGCGATTGACAGAAATGTACTGGAGTTAGTAACATGGTGCCCAGCCTTCCCGCTGCCGCTTTATCTGGTCCTGCTCCTAAGAGGACTGGGCTGGGGCTGGGGCTGGAGGTGGGCAGGATGGGGCGTTGCAGTTTAAGGCATTTCTGGCTTCAGAGCCATCCCTGCCACCCCTGCACCTGCACCTGCCCCTTGACGTTGGTCAGACGCTAGCTGGCCCGGGTCATTCTGAGACAAGGGGACCATCCCTGGCACTGGAGGGAGGATTTGCAGTGAGGCAACCGTCAGCCACTCTCAGCTGACACGGGAAGGATGGGACCCACCACTCCAGGGGTCAAATGAACAAACACATGAAGAACACGGCAGGTGGCCAGGCCCAGATGCCCAGGCAGGCAGCAGAGGCCAACCCCATCCTACAGGGGCTCTGCTCAGTGGCTCCTCACAGGGCCTGGGGTGTGGCAGAGGGACACGGCCACATCCAGGGTGGCTGGGTGGCTGGGCGGGGTGAGCTGAGGGTCACAGCACCCAGGTCGGCTCTGGTCTGGCCTCTGCTTACTGGGGCTGGAGCAGGCAGCAGGGGCGGGACTTTGGAGCTGGCCAGCAGTAACATTGTTTTTAAGTCACAGTATTGGCCCTGGAGGCCCAGGCAGGGCCGGGCCCTGGGGTCTAGCCAGCCCGGGAAAAGGCCAGCCATGGCCCAGAGCACACACAGGGAGAAGCAGATCAAATGGGAGCTCGGAAAGCCCCGTGCGGGCACCCGGAGGAAGGGCCCCATCAGACCTCACAGCCAGACGGAGTGAGGGTGACTCGGGAGCCTCGGCTGCTTCCCGGCAGGCGGGGACGCCATGGGGGAGGCACAGTGCAAGGCAGGGGCTCGGTGCCCAGAGGCAGGGGGTGCGTCCTGAGGCTGCCATCCATGCCCAGCCCTCCACGCTGCCACCTTGCCCGCATGTCCCTCGGCACCAGGTCTGTCTGCAGCACAGCTGCCTGGACGGAAGGAAGGCCGGGCCAGCAGTCCCTCCGGCCAACACGCAGGCAAGAAAATCATATCAAAAAGCCACAAGTTTACAAAAATAGAAAATAATTATAGCGGGGAGTGGGAGCTCTGGTGCCAGCTCACGCAGCAGGGCAGGGCCGCAGCTCCGGCTTGGTGACAGCGTCCTCTAGCAGGTGCAGTGGGTGCTGGCCCACCATCACGTCCCGAAGGCAGCCCACGAAGCCCGTGCCGTAGGCCTTGGGCAGCGCTGGGCCCATAGGCAGCTCCGGCAGGCCCCCTGCAGCACAGACAGCAGGAGTCACCAGCTGCGACTCGGTGATGCCAATCGACACAGGGACCCACCGGCACCCCAACAAGCAGGTGGCCCATGGGGGGCTACACACAGGCCCTCACCTCCTGACCCCACAGCACTGGAGAAGAAAGGGCCCAGCCTGCCAGCTTATATGCTGTCCTGACTCAAGGCCGGCCCTGGGGGTGGAGTCTCTCCCTCAGATATCAGGAGACCCTTGGGCACCCCTCCACAGTCTCCCCCACACACTCACCAAGCCACAGGGCTCCATCGGTGTCCAGCTGCGTGGCACCCAGAGGGGAGGAGCCGGTCACCGGGGCCTCATTGCCCACCTGCAGGGAACCTTCCCTCTGCTCCCTGGGAGCACAGGTCGGGGGGACCATCAGGGGCCAGAGCTCCCTCTACCTCCTCTAGACCCAAAGTCCTGCATCCTTCCTATGCCTCACAGGTGCCTCAGTCCGGGGGACCACCCAGGTGTCACCCTTGGGGGCAAGGATGGGGTGGCCTTGACCCCAAGGAGAGCACCAGGAGCCAAGGCCAGGGACATTCCTGCAGCTCAGGCTTTGCTGGAGGCGACGTCAGGCTCACACTAGAACGGCCCCAGCAGCATCTGGCAGGGCAGGGATGCCTTTCAGACCAGGAAGCCCATCACTGCTTCTCCCACATCTTCTCATCCCTTCCTCCTCCCGCTGGCAGTGACCTCAGCTCAGGGAGTGAAGCGTGTCCTCCCTGATCCCTGGCCACAAGTGACTGGGCACAGCCCAGCTGGACGAGTCTGGACAGCACTTTCCACTATCTTTGGCATGCTGAGTCCCCTACTGACCTGTGTGCCACGACCCGCAGCCAGCGGCTGGTGTTGACGGGCACAGTGGAGCGCAGCACCACGGGCTGAGAGCCCAGGTTGTAGCTCAGCTGTAGATGTCCGTCCACAATGGCCAGCGCCACGTAGTCTGCCTGCTCCGTGGCCTTGCCGCTCCAAAGAACCAGCCCCTGCGTGGCCTCCGTGCGCAGGCTCAGTTCAAAGTGGTTGCTCTGCAACACCTTCTCGCTGGAGAGCAGAGGGTGGGTCAGGGCCTCCCAGAGGGTGGCAGCATGATGGGGGGCAGGGGGCAGGAGGACAAGGGCCCCAGCTGCGGAGGCCACAAAGGGCTGGTGATGGGACCCAGAGGTCGCAGGTGGGCGAACATGGACAGTGGGAGGGAGAAGAGGGATGGAAATGGGGCAGCCTGGCAGAGATGAGAGAGCGGGGTGGGAGGACAGATGGGCCAGCCGGGGGTCTGCAGGTACTGCTGCCACATGCTCACCTGTGAAGGGCCCCGGAATCCAGAGTTTTGGGGCTTAGAAGCAGGAAGAGAGGGAGGCAGGTGAGCAGGGGATAGGCGGCCCAATGCAAACCCTCCTCAACATTGGGGTGCAAGGAGCAGGCATCCACAGAAACCACGGATGACCTCAAAGATCACCAGCCCACCCACCAGAGTCCCAGCAAGGACACACATAATATGCGTGTGCAGACACGTGAGGGCACAGACACCCATGTGCAGACAGTGCGAGAGCACAGCCAAGGATGGGAGCAGAGATCAAGGTGAGTGCAGGGTGGCATGGAGTGTGTCCCTCAGATGCCAGGGACACACATGCATGTGTGCATGCACGCAAGCCTACACACAGAGACACACCTGCATGTTCACACAGACCTGCACACACACATGGACACACACACCTGCATGTTCACACAGACCTGCACACACACATGGAGACACACCTGCATGTTCACAGACCTGCGCACACAGACACACCTGCATGTTCACGCAGACCTGCACACACATGGACATACACACCTTCATGTTCACACAGACCTGCACACACACAGGGAGACACACCTGCATGTTTGCACAGACCTGCACACACACATACAGAGACACACACCTGCATGTTCACAGACCTGCACACACATACGGAGACACAAACCTGCATGTTCACACAGACCTGCACACACACATGGAGACACACACCTTCATGTTCACAGACCTGCACACACATGGAGACACACACCTGCATGCTCATGCAGACCTGCACACACACGGAGACACACCTGCATGTTCACACAAGCCTACACAAACACTTGCATGTTCACACAAACACACACCTGCATGTTCACACACACCTACACACACACGGAGACACACCTGCATGTTCACACAAACCTGCACACAGACACACCTGTGTGTTCACACAAACCTACACATACATGGAAACACACACCTGCGTGTTCACACAGACCTGAACACACACGACACACCTGCATGTTCACACGAACCCACCACACACACAGAGACACACCTGCATGTTCAAACCACAAACACATGGAGACACACCTGCATGTTCACACAAACCACACAGGGACACACAGAGGCACACACCTGCATGTTCACACAAAACACACGGAGACACACCTACAGTCACACACACATCTACATGCACAAAAACCTACACACAGAAACACCTGCATATTTACCAAACCTAAACACACACACTCCTCCATATTACACACACAAGCCTACACTTGGACACACACCTGGATATTCACATACACACACCTACATGCCCCCCACATACACATGGACATGCACACACACACCTGCATGTTCTCACACACATATACATGTCCCCCACATACACATACACATGGACATGCAAATGCACACCTGCATGTTCTCATATACACAACTCCCTCCGTACACACACGTACACACATACACACACCTGTACATCCACCCCATACACACAGAAACGTACATATCACACCTGCATGTTCACACATGCACACAGACATGCACACACGGATGAGACATGCATGTGCACATGTGTGTGCAGCCTCAGTGGCAGGGGTTGCCTGTGGGGTGATGCTTGGCCTGTGGGCTGGGAGGGTTGACTGCACTTTCGAGGCAGGAACTAGCCTCTTGCTGCAAAATAGCACCCAACCCCCACCCTCCGCCACAAGGGATGGACAGTTGCAGGGGCTCGGGCCTGTGCTGTGCTCCCCACCAGGAAGAATGGAGGAAAGGGAGAGGGAGGGAGCAGGTGGGGGCCAAGCTCTACTCACACTGGGATCTCATTGGCCAGTTCGCTTGGAAACAAAGAGACAGACAGTGAGAGGAACAGAGGTGACAGCACTAGGCCCCTCGGAGCGAGCGTGTGTGGGGGTTGCCCCGAGGGCATGGGCGGGACAGGCGGCACGCAGAGGATGGCATGTTACCTCTCGGTCACAGCGTTGAGGTACTCAATGAAGGTCCGCCCGTCAAAGGCCAGGGCATCCAGGTCCCCCGCCGACTTCTCCACCAGCCCTGTGAGACCAGCAGGTGAGGATGGGCCTCACAGGCTCCCACCGTCCAGCCTCTGCCCTCTGCCCTGTGCCCAGCTCACCCTTCTCGCAGTGTGGTCCTGAGAATCCCCCTGGACACAGGCACACATAGGCCGCCTCCCTCGGGACGCAGGAGGCTCCATTGAGGCAGGGGTGGCCTGAGGCCCGGGTGCAGGGGTGGTCGGCAAAGGATGTGACGTCCATCTGCCTCAGCACATGCTCCGGGGTGAGCAGCTGGAGGCCTCCCAGGGACACCTGCAGGGGCAGGGGGAAGAGCCTCGTCCCGCCTGATGCCCTGCCCACCCCAGAGGCCCTGGTGGGAGGCCCCATCCCCACTTACCAGCTGGATGGCGCCGCTGAAGCCAGACGACACCGCAGCAGCACGGGCCAGCTTGCTGAAGTCGGGAGCTCCCCCTACGTAGAGCGGCTCTTTCAGGTTGAGGACTGTGTGTGGAACCTGTGGGGGTGCTGGGTGAGGCTTGTGCAGAGCCCACCCGCTGTGCAGACCCAGGGCCCAGCCCCCTGTGTGCTCCCATCCACTGCCTATCTAGGGGGCAGTGTTAATCACACAGAAATGGTGGGGTCCTTGGTGGGGAGGAGCTACCCTAGGGGAGGAGGCATCTGAGATGGTGAGCGGATGAGGCCGACAGTACCTTGCGGGATTTCTGGCCTCCGAAGAGCGGGTGGGGTTGCAGAGCAAGAGCAGAGAGCAGGAAGGCAGAGGAGGCAGGGGACAGGACAGGCGGCCAAGAGAACAGGGCAGAAAAACAGCTCCGTGAGCGCTGGCAGGGGCGGGGCCGCTGCCCGGAGGAGGAAGAGCAGGCGGCAGCGGGTCCCCTCACAGCCCAGGGCACTCACCGGGGACTCGCCCAGCATGCGGGGGCCATCACCCACACGCATGGCACCCTTGCGGCCATTTCGCTCCAGTGAGACGCTGGTCCAGGTGCCCAGAGTGACGGGCTCCTTGCTCCTGGTGAGGAGGGGGCAGGGTGAGTGGGCTCTGGCTGCTGCCAGCTGTCTGCCTGCCCAGGGCCCGACACCTGTTGGTGTCTGGCCTCAGGCCAGCGCCCCAGGCTCTGAAGCGTCACCTCGCTGGCCCACCTGATGACTGCTGCCCCCTTGCCCAGGTCATAGCGGAACTCCAGGTGGCGGTCCTGCAGTGCCAGTGACACAAAGTCCCCCTTGCCATCCGTCTTCTGCCCGTTGTAGAGCAGGAGGCCGCTGGGGCCTCGTGCCAGGAACACCACCTCCAGTGCCATCTTCTCCCTGGGGTCACAGGGAGTCGGAGTGTCTCTCGGTCCCCAACAGGACAGACATAGGTGGGGGCCGGCCCTTCCCCCGCACCTGACCCACTGACCCCAGGTCCCGGGCGAAGGTGTGCAAGCCTCTCAGCTCCAGGTGGGAGAAGCCGTTGAAGTCAGCCAGAAAGGGCCGGGAGCCGTCCTGCCCTGAGACTGTAGGGAGTCACCCAGGCTTCAGTCCTGACCCCCAGGGCCTCCTGCACCCCCTGCTGGCTGCATGTAGAGACTAATTCAAAACCTAAACTAGAACCGCACCCTAACTGCGATGCCACCTGGACAGTACCTGCCCACACGTTTTACCTCCCCACCCACCTCCCTAAGAGCCTCATGGCCCCGACCTGTCTGGCAGAGGGTGCCCCCCTGTCCCAGGGGGCACTGGCATTGGACACCACCCTCGGGCAGCACATGGCATGGTGCTGCGCCGTGGCAGGGGTTGGGCTGGCAAGGGTTCTTCTCCTCAGCACAGGTCGGTCCTAGTGGAGAAAGATGGCATTGGTTGGGCACCGTCCACAGGCCCTGAGGTCTCACCCCCACCCACTCTGGCCCCACCCTTACCGAAGTGGCCGGGCGGGCACAGGCAGCGGAACCTTCCAGCCTCCAGGGCCTGGCATGGGGCCCTGCCATGGCAAGGGTTGGGCAGGCAGGGGTGGTCCCCACACTCGCCCACGGCAGAACCTTGGGCTGCAGCCCCAGGCCCAACGCTGAGCTCCAAGAGCTGGTTGTTGATGTCCAGCAAACGGATACAGCCCCTCAGACCAGTGCCCACGAAGATCCGTTCCAGCACCCTGACAGCAGGAGGGGCACTGGGTCAGGGTGCAGGGGCCACAGGCAAAGCCACCTCACACACGGAGACCCCAAAGGGCCGGGATCAGGGGTTGGGGGCTCACACAGCAGCCTGGTCCTCAGGTACACCGCCCACAAAGAGATCTGTGTCCAGGTTGAGGCCGTCGGTGCCACTTGGGCTCTCGCCTAGAACGGGGGTCTCCCCATCCACTGAGAGGGTACCCCGGCGCCAATGCCGTGACAGCTCCAGTCGGTGCCACCGCCCCAGATCTACCAGCACTGCACTGGTCAGCACCGCAGGCCCTGAACCTGTGTCAAACCTGAAGGTGGAAGCAGGTGCTTAGGATCATCTCGGCCGGCCCCCACACCACCCATCTGTGCGGCATTTGGTCCTGCCCTCCCTGCCCACCTGAGCTGCCCCCTGACCCCACCACCCTCCCTGCCCACCTGAGCTACACGCGGCCCCACCCCACCCCGCCCACCTGAGCTGACCCCTGGCCCCGTCCCTCCCTGCCCACCTGAGCTGCACGTGGCCCCTCCCCGCCCACCTGAGCTGCACACCACTCCACCCCACCCCGCCCACCTGAGCTGCCTCCTGGCCCCACCCCTCCCACCCACCTGAGCTGCACATGGCCGTCTAGCAGGGCCAATGCCAGGAAGTCCTTGCCCCGGGCATTGCCATTGTACAGCAGTAGTCCCTGAGGCTCCAGTGTCCGGAATTCCAGCGCCAGGCGGAGCGTGTGGTAGGCGCGGAGAGTAGGGAAGGCCAGGAAGGAGTGGCCCCCGAAGGCCGGCACAGGGGCGTGCAGCACTGCAAGAGCGACCGGTAGGGCTGGCTGGAAAAGCTCCGAGGACTCCCCGTTTTTACCCCTGAAACCACCCCTTAACCCAGGCCGCTGACCGCAACCCAAAGCCAGATGGTTAGCCCCGCCCCCAATCCGTGCCCCCACCGCCTCCCCGCCCTCCGCTGCAGAGGACACCCTTACCCCTCTCACAGACAGCGCCGCCCCAGCCTGCCGGGCAGCTGCAGGTGAAGTCCCCGCCTAAGGCCCCATCCTGGCAGGTTCCCCCGTGTAAGCAGGGCTGCGAGTCACAGGGCTTGGGAGGTTGCTGGAGGGCTGGGGGCAGAGGTGGGTATCCAGGCACATGGCTGGGGGCAGTGGTGGGGGGCCGACGCGTGGTGGGAGCTGCTGTGGTCTTGCTGATGGGCCGGCTTGTGTGACCGGGGTGTGGGGCCCGAGGGGTCACAGCAGAGGGCGGGGGGCGGGACGCAGTGGTGGCTCTGGCCGTGGCTACTGCAGCAATGGCTCCCGACGTGGCCCCGGTGAAAAACGCAGGAAACCAGTCTGTGGGCACGGGGAGCTGTTAGTGTTTCCAGGGAGCAGCACCAGGAGGGGTGGGGGCATGGGCAGAGGTGGGGGTAGGTAAGCCATGGCACATGGCCTGGCACTCACCAAAGTCCATAAACCGCACATGCTCCTGCAGTGGCCTCCTCACCCCCAAGGACCGGCGCCTGGACACCTGGAGCTGCCGGAGCAGGGCCCGGCCCACGTCGGGGGCCCTGAAGGCCGTGGCTGGGGAGGTGGGAGTACTGAGCGCTGCAGAGCCCCAGGCAGCTCCCACCCATTGCCTCCCAGGAGGGGTACAGACTGGGGGGTCTCACTGGGGTCAAAGTGCACATCCACAATGGCACGGACGGATCTGCCAGGCCCCAGGTCCCGCAGGTGGACACTCCGAAAATCCTTCTTGACATCTGAATTTCGGAAGAGGTCGTCCAGCTGTGGGCAGGCAGTGGGCAAGGACTCAGGGGCCGCCCCAGCTGGCTGCCTACTGCTGCTCTGGGTGTCTGGGGAGGAAGCCCCGTGGCTGGGGTGCTGTCTGGGGAGGAATCCCCGTGGCTGGGGCGCTGTCTGGGGAGGAAGCCCTGTGGCTGGGGCACTGTCTGGGGAGGAAGGCCCATGGCTGGGGCGCTGTCTGGGGAGGAAGGCCCGTGGCTGGGCCGCTGCACCTTCACCATCTTACCACGCTCTCGATGCTCCTGGCTGTTTCCCCGAACAGCTCAGACTTGGGGTCGGCCATCTCTGGTGTGTAGAACAGCTCCTGGCCCTCGACGCCCTCCAGCTCCAGCATGCCCTGGAACACCCTGGTGGCTGTGGGGGAGGGGCAGTGAGGCCCTGCCTGGCATCTGCCTGGCCTCTAGGCTGGCCAGTGGGCCACATGGTGCAGGGGAGGGTGGCTGTTAGTCAGATGGCCATGAGGTTAGTGAGGACCCCAGGGTAGGGCTGGCGTCAGTTACCAGGCGGACTCCTCGGAGCAGGGGGCCATGCCGGCTTGCAACGAGAGAGACAGGTTAGGCTCGGGGTCCCGGGCACACACGTGCTTGTTGGGGCCAAGTCCCACGACCATAACCCCCGGCACTGACCTGCTGCCCGGGCAAGGGGCCAGCACCCCGAGGAGCCCAGGCCGCTCCTCACTCCCCTCGCCCGGCCGCCCACTCACCGGGGCAGTTGGAGCCCTCCACGTCCAGCGAGGGCGTCTTCCCATCCGAGCAGCAGCCCAAAGGGGCATTGTAGCAGGAAGCCCTCTCAATGGGCAGCCCAGGGGTTGCCACGCTGCTGCCCTCCAAGGGCTCGAGGCCTGCAAAGCCCATGTCTGAGCCCAGGCCCTGGAAGAACCTCTCTGAGCCCACCCACCACCCAAGTCCAGATCCCTGCTCACCCCCAGAGCCACCCCCACTGGCCTCCTGGTCCCCGCTCAGTTCCTCGTCATCACTTCCATCAGCGCTGCCAGATTCACCAAAGGCAGATGCCACGAGGCTGGGTACAGGGGAGGGTGCCGTGGGGGGTACAGGCCACACAGTGGTCCTGGGGATGCTGGTGGTGGTCCGAGGTCTCGATGAGGGCGGAGGGGTGGTCTGACTGTGTGTGGTACTGCTAGGAGCCAGGGGGAGGGCGCTGGGAGGGGCTGGCAGTCCCTGGCTCAGGAGCCCTGGGGTGGTCACGATCACAGAGGCAGATGTCGGGTGAGTACTGGGAGCAACAGCCTCTGCAGGGAGAGGGAGGTTGGTGAGGGGACTGGTTGGCAGAGGGACAGGATCAAGTGGCTCAGGGTGGGTGGGGCTGGACTTAGGGTAGTGTCAGGCCTTCCTGGTCAATTCTGGGGGGGTGCCTGTCAGGCCTCACCCTGGCACGGGCCCAGGCTCTGGATAGAGAGGTGCAGGCCCTGTCGGCAGGCAATGGTCTTCAGCTGACACTCGTTGCCGTACGTGACTCCATCTGACCCGCAGACCTGGGACGCAGAACAGGGGTGCTCAGGGCGAGGCCCCTTCCCACTCCCCCCTCTGAATTCCACACCCCTCACCTTGGAAGCATTGGCCTCTGGACAGGTGAGCATCGGGCAGACACAGTGGGCTGAGCCGGAGTCCTCCACGCACAGCGCACCAAACTTACAGCGCACCTCCGCACAGGTCTCGGGTGCAGAGGCATCTGGGGCACAGGCATGGGAAACCCCTGGAGCTCAGGTGGCCTCACCCCAGCCCACGAAGCCCAGAGCAGCACTGGCTCTCACTCACCAGCTTCACAGCCCGCAGGGCCCAAGGCACGACCATCTGGACACTGTCCGCACTTGGGCCCAGCCGCCCCGGGCTTGCAGGAGCACAGTCCGGACATCTGCTCACAGTCGTCCCGCACGGCGCCCTGGGGATCGCAGCTGCAGGCTTTGGGGGAAATGAGGGAGGAGTCTTGTAGGGCTGAAGGCCCCACAGGGTCGTGGGGTGAGCCTTATGCTGTGCTGAGGCGCAGGATCCGAGAAATAAAGAGACAGGACACAGAAGTACAAGGAAAACGCAGCTGGGCTCAGGGGGCCACGTCACCTATGAGCGGAGTCAGGTGAGGCCCTGAATGTCCAGAAGTCTGAGTATTTATTGTGCATAGGTTAGGGGTCAGGGCAGGGAGTGAAATCATCATTAAGGATAGTGATAGGATCGTGAGCAATAAAACATGGGGTCCACCCCCATTAGGTCACCTAGGCCAGGAGGTGAACAGTGCACAGCAAGGGGCCCGTTCTCATGAAGGCGAGGGCTGTGTGCAGTAAGGGGTCCATCCCCATTAGGTCACCGAAGCTTGAAGGTGGGCCGTGCACAGTGAAGAGGGTGCAGTGTGCAATACTTCAATCTATGGTCAAACTACTTCTAGGAAGATTTATAGGAGGATGCTTTAAGTCACACAGCAGTGACAGAGCTGTCAGGGTTACCGCCACCTTCTGGCAGCTCCAATGAATTCTATAGGAAGATGCTTTTGAAGCAGCACAGTAGCAAGAGCTGATAAAGTTCACAGTCACCAAGGTGGATTGCCGGTCTGAGGGCAGCCTTCCACAAGAACTGGAGCAAGGTCCTACAACTCCTTTATCAGGAGGAGAGGCTCTTGCCCCAAGCCTGCCACACAGCGGGTATCTTTATGATACTGAACGCTGGCGCCTGGGCCATGGATTCTTGGCCTGGTATGACTGTTTGTCCCTTAAATCATGCTCTGCACTGTGTCTGCTCTAGGCATTCCTCCGATTATAAGCTGCTTATTCCTTAATTCATGCTCTGTACTGTGTCCACTCTCGGCAGTCCTCCGATTATGAACTAAGATATAATTACATATTTAGGGAAATACTCTTTAGGCACTCATACTATCAACTATTATATGATTATATAGAGAGGATAATATAAAGGGATTCTTCAAGCCCTATTTCTATAAACTAATATATGATTGTATGAAGGATTATATAAAAGAAAGTTGCTGAGTAGTAACACTATAGAGCGAAATATTCGTCAAGCCCTAACTGTGCCAGGGTTCTGCTTAGCTCTCATTCTTCAGTGCCTATATGGGGGGTTACCCACAGAATCTGATGTCTGCACCTGGACAGGCTTCCCCACCTCCTCCAGAGCCTGGCCCCTAACCCTGGCTCTGCCAGCCCCAGAGAGGTATGTGTCTGGCCAGGGCCTGGGCAGGTGAGGAGGGACACAGCCATGGGGGTAAGACAGACAAGAGAGCACAGCCAGTGGCCAGCCCTGGGCCCTGTCACTCACGTGTGCAACCACTGTGGCCATCAGTGACGATGCCTCGGAAGTTCCAGAAGCCAGGCTCACAGCGGTCACACCTGAGGCCCCCCACGCCGGGGCGGCAGGAGCACTGGCCTGTGGCTGGGTCACAGGTGCTGCCGTAGGAGCCATGGGGGTTGCACTGGCAGGCACCTGCAAGACCAGGACAGGATCAGGTCATGTGGCCGCACAGCTGCACCAGGCCGAGTCAGGACTGAGCTCAGGTACTCACTGGGGCAGCCAGCCAGGCCCACGCCCCGGGCCATGGTGATATTGTCCTGGCAGCAGCCGTAGGGTGTCTGGGCACAGTGAGAGGGGGCCACAGGTGGCAGCGGGGCGAAGGTGGGGCCTGCAGGGAAGGGTACAGGAGTCAAACTTCATGCAGTGCTGAACACCCACCTGGGCCTAGCCACTCTGCCTCAACCTGCCCCCACCATCACCACTCAGCCCTCCCGATCCCAGTTCCCAAAGGAGCCTGGGAGCCTGGGGCTGATATCACAGATGAGGCTGTGTCTGTAAATGCAGGCCCAGGAACACAGAACGCAGAGTACCCAAAGATCCCGGACACGCAGCTCTGTGACACACGGAGGAGCGGTGCACACGCAGATGAGCGTCCTTGCAAATCCAGACACGTACATCTAAAGACGTCAGCATGCACACTCACCCACGTTCCTCCAAACCTGTGCAGTTAACGTACCACTGCAGACACACATCTGTATACGTGCCTCAGCCCACAACAGGCACCACTCATTCCTCCTCAACATGATACACTGACCCCATCCGTGTATCCAGAGAAAGCGCCCACAGGTGGAGCCCCACGTGGTCACGCTGCCTCCCAGCAGTGAAGCCTGGCCTGGTGCAGCCTCACAGACTGACGGACACACGCCCACACACAGCCACACAAACATGCACCTGCAGCAACACTGGGGCTTCTCTTTCACAACGTAACATGCACGTCCACATGAGCCGCCCACATGCCAGCTGCTCGTGTGCCCACGGAAACAGGCTGCTGCCCCTGTGCACAGGATGCTGTGCGCAGCGACCGCTCACCTTGGCAGGCTCCCTGAGCCACCACATGGAGCTCCCGCTGTGACTCGCACCTGGCCTTCTTCAGGTCACACTCGGTGCCATAGGTGATCCCATCTGAGCCGCACACCTGGAGGGTGGTGTCAGTGTGAGCGGCTGCAGCCTCGTCCTCGCCACCCACCTAGAGCCAGGGGTGCAGGGCTCACCGGGCTGCCTGGGACACTCTGGCAGCTGAAGTCGCAGACGCATGGCCCATCCTCCGAGTCTTCATCCCAGATGCCACCTCGCTGCCGGCACAACTCCTGCTCACAGTCACCATCTTCCCCAGAGCCAGAGCCTCCGGAGCCGCACTCCACTGCAGGGAAGTGGGGCTGCGTCAACCAGGGGCTTTGTGTCGGAGGCTGGAGCCCAGCAGTCTCGCCAGCCGTCCCCTGGCCTACACTGCTCGCACGGCCCTGCCCGGGCCTCCTCAATCTGCTTCTGCTGCCGGCAGGCGGCTTCCCGTAGCTCACAGGCGCTGTCGTAGGTGACACCGTCGCTGCCGCACACAGGGCCAGGTGGGGGGTGCTCACACCGGGGACACATGCACTGCCCCGCAGAGCACACAGCCCCAAAAGCACACACGGCATGTCCACAGGTCTCTGCAGAAGACAGCCAGGTGGGGTCAGGAGGCCCCGGCTGAGGCAGGCACAAGACCTCGGACCACCTGGCCCTACTCACCGCAGGGTCCAGCTGAGGCCACATGCAGGCTGATCTGGTGAGTGCAAGCGTGAACGTGTAGCATGCACTCGCTGGCGTACGTGTGCCCGTCGGAACCACACACGGGCTGGGCCAAAGCCACGCATTCGGAGGGGCACACACAGCGCCCGGTCTCAGCCTCACACAGGGCTCCAAAGCGGCACTGCCCGCAGTGGTCTGGGGAGGCGGCTCCGTCACCAAGGCGACCAGGAACCTCCCTCCCACGGCCCCCACCCGGCCCCTCGCCCGCCACTGACCACAGGGTCCTTTCCGCACCACCCGGACCTCCCGCCCGAGGGTGCAGGCCATGGCCTCCAGCTCGCACACGCTGCCGTAGGTGACACCGTCGCTGCCGCACACGGGATCATAGAGGCCCGAGCACGCCTGCCGGCATTCACACGCCGCCTGCCCATTCTTCACCGAACACGTCGCCCCAAATGCACACTGCACCCCGACACACGGGGACGGGGCCTGGTCTGCAGAGGACACCGGCGCTCAGCGGGCCCACAGCCCCCCTCAGCTGCAGGCAAAATCCCCAGCCCCACGCAGCAGTCCCTCTCCCAGGAAGGGGATGGCGGAGGAAGAGAGAACACAGGAGAAGGGCCAGATGCACAGCAAACACGGCAGAGAAAGCGACAGACACGTGGCAGAGGTGGGTGGGACACACCCAGGAAGCCTGGCGTGGCCATGGGCGGGGCTGCCCTCAAGCTGGGGGCTTCCTGACGGTCCACAGCAGGCTATGGGAGGGCCAAGCTTCCCCGGCCTGCCCAAGCCACTAACTCCTGACTGCCAGCATCCCTGGGACACCCATGCATGTGGGGATGTGGGGGGCTCTCCGTGGGTGGGAGGAGTCTCGCCCCCCCCCACCGAGCCACACCCAGGGCTGCATGGGGGAGGAGGTGTCTGTCCACTTGCTCTGAGGACCACAAGGCCAGGCAGCAGCAAGCCACCCCCCCCCCGCCACGCCGGGGGCAGACCTCGGGCTGTGCGCTCCTGGCGGGCAGGCACGGCACCTCATCCTGCCAGCAGGTCAGGCTGGAAGACACAAGAGGCGGAGCCGACAGGGAAGGAAAGACCAAGGAGAAGAGACGGACGCAGAGAGAACGACCAGAAGATGGGAGAACCGACCAAGATGGACACAGGCAGGCAGAGCCACGGAGCTGGGCCCACATGGGACACGGTGGCCACTGCCTCCACCTGGCCCATCATGTTCTGACGCAGACACTGCCTCCAAACGGGCTGAGGGCTGCCCATGTCCCAAGAGTGAGGGCCCCAGTGTTGTGTCCAGCCCGCCCGCCCCAGCAGTCTGTGCTCGCTTAGTATGGAGATGCACAAATAGGCCAGAGGGCTTGCAGGGACAATGTAGCTCAGTGCAGGGACCACGGAGCCTGCATGAGGCCCTACCTCTGCCCCACCAACCCCTACCAGGGTCCTAGGCACCCTGTGCACACACACTTTCTACCCTCCCCAGTGACCAGCCCACTCCCAGGACCCCAGGAGGAGCGTGACAGATGAAGATGGCGTGTGATGTCCGGGTAGGGACTGATGCAGGACCAGCCCTCACCCTGCCTGGCCTCCACCCCGGGGTGCTCACCACACGGGCCCTGGTGCTTGCTGGGGATGGCACGCTGATGCCGGCACTCAGCCTGCTGGCGCCAGCAATCATTGTCATACGTGTGCCCATCCTGGGCACACACAGGCCTGTAGGCCCCGTCACAGGTGACACGGTCGCAGGAACAGTGGGGGCGGCCACGGCGGGAGAGGCACACGGCATTGAACGGGCAGGGCTCCGGACACTGGTCTAGGGGACAGGGGTGAGGAGATCATGGAGAGGCCAGAGCACCCTTCAGGCCTTCCCCGGGATATGTGGGAAGCACAGGAGCAGATGGCCCTCCCCAAAGGAGCTGCCCACCTCGAGATTGGCACTGTCCAGAGCCCTTCCCTGGGGAACTGTCCACTCACCTCAAGGCTGGCACTGTCCAGACCCCTCCCCGGGGAACTGCCTGCCCACCTCGAGGCTGGCACTGCCCAGAGCCCTCCCGTGGGGAACTGCCCACCCACCTCGAGGCTGGCACTGCCCAGAGCCCTCCACTGGGAAACCGCCCACCCACCTTGAGGCTGGCACTGGCCGGAGCGCACTTTCTGCAGGAGGAGGCCCCGGGTGGCCCCCGATCGGCCCATGACACAGTCGTTTTTGTAGGTAACACCGTCGTCCCCACACACTGGCGCCCGCCGGGCAGGGCAGCTCTCGGGCCGTAGAAGCATCTCGGGGCGCCGCGTGCGTGGGTTCACGCGGCAGCTGCGGCTCAGCTCGGCAACGGCGCCCTGGCAGGGGTCTGGGGGTCGAGGGCAGGGGTCAGGACACTGTCGCCGCGCGCCCACAGAGGTCGAGACGTGCGCCCGCCTCAGCGCTCACCGCAGGGGCCGTCAAACTTCTTGAAGACGTTCTCCTGGTGGGCACAGGCGCGGCGCAGGAGCTGGCACTCGCCGGGGTAGTCAGCGCCGTCGCTGCCACACACGGTGCCCTCGGGGGCGCCCCGGCAGGTCTCGGGGCACAGGCACGAGGCCGTCAGCCCGTCGGACGAGCGCGCGCAGGTGCTGCCGAAGCTGCAGGTCACGTTGGAGCAGGGGTCTCGGGAGCCTGTGGGCGGGGCTCGCTGGTCACAAATGCCGATCCCTTCCCGCCCTCCCCACGAGCCCCGCCTAACCCTCCCCATAGGCCCCGCCCAACCCTCACCACAGGCCCCGCCCCTCCAGCCCTGCCATGTCCCGTCCCTCCCCCAACCTCATACCACAGGCCCCACCCACTCCGCCCCCACAGGCCCCGCCCATTCCCGACCGTCCTGTCCACAGGCCCCGCCCCTCACCCCCCTCACCTCACCGGCCCCGCCCCATCCTAAAGGCCCCTCCCACCCTGACCCTCCTGTCACCGGCCCCGCCCATCCCCGCCCCGCCCGCCCACAGACCCCGCCCCCGCGGTCCACAGGCCCCGCCCACAACACAGGCCCCGCCCCGCTCGTCGCAGGCCGTGTCCATCCCCGCCCCGCTCACCGCAGGGCCCGCGGCTGAGCAGGCGGATGCGGCGCTGCTGGCTGCACTGCGCCCGCTGCAGCTCGCACTCGTTGCTGTAAGTGGAGGCATCCGAGCCACACACCGGCGCCACCACGCTGGGGCACGGGCTCTTCTTGCACACGCAGGACGCTCGTCCCGGCCCCTCTGCGCTGGGTTCGCACACGGCGCCGAAGCCGCACAGCATCCCCCGGCACGCTGGGGCGGGTGGGGGAGAAGGAAGGGGTCAGGACGCCGCACCCACGTCCATATGCCCGCGAGACCTTGCTGTGTTCGCGGCCCGTTCATTAGCCGCCCCTGCGGACACATCCACTGGCGCCACCTTGGTCGTCCGCCACGGACACGGACACGGACGCGCGTGCGCTCACTCACGGGGCGGCCCTGCCCCTCGGAGACCCCGCCGCCAAGGGTTCCCGCCAGCCCCTGGCCTCTCCGGGGAGCACATTTTCCCCCCACCCCGCCCCTGCAGCCACGGAGAGGGGCGTCTCCTGCAGCGGGCACCGGCCCCTGTTTCTGCGGCGGGCGAGCACCCACTTCCCACCCGCCTCGTGGGCCCCCAACGAAAAGCAGAGACGCCTCGAAACCAACTCGGGCACAAGCAGACCAGGCCCCTGGTGTGCACCGGACCCTCTCATCGACCCACCCAGGGGAGGTCCGGGGGGGGGCCCTTCCCGCGCTGCTGCAGGGTCCAGCACACCTGAGCCCTGCCTCCTGCCCGGGTCCGCCCAGGTCCCGCCCGGCACTCAGGGACATGAAGGGGGTGGTGAGGTCTGAGGCCTGGTCACAGCTCTGACCCACCTCTGGCACCTCCAGACCTTCCTACCGGATCCCTGCACCCAAGGCGGGTAGGTGACCCTCTTCTAGCGGCCTCTCCCCCCCAACTCTTCCCCAGCTTCCCTGGAGAAGTGCCCGTTCCCTGCCTCCGCCTGCCTCTACTCTGTTCTATTTTCCCTGGCCAGCGCCCCACCCTCCCCACCCCCACTGACACCCATCCTTCCGCAGCCTCTCGCTCCCTGGGATCCCTGGGGCACCCACACTCCCCCTCCTCCCCAGGGCGTCCCCCTGGGCCTCACTTTACCCCTGCCTCCTCCATCCCCCTCATTCTCTGACAAAGCGACCTTCTTGGGAGATGCAGGAACTGTCCTTAATTTTAGTTCTTACTCTTGCAGACCTTAGTGCCTGGCACACATCCCTTCTCTACACCACGTGGCCGGCAAAGCTTCCCCAGGCACGTTAAAACCCAGAGCCCCTGGGGCAGCCCTTTCTGAGCACTCCCCACCCCCAGGATGGCACACCCAGGATCAGGGAAAGGCCCATTAAGGGCTGCAGCTGTCCGGATTTAATAAATGTTTAATTGGGCCCAATTATCATTAATAAGTCATGTCAGAGGGGTGGCTACCACCCATCACTTCCCAGTATGCTCACGAAATGGGGCAGGAGGGAACCCCCCCCAACTCCAAAGAGGGTGAGTGCACCAGGAGCTGGAGCCAGCTGTTGCCATGGCAACAACCCACCCCAGGCTCCAGTGCTGTCTGGGTGTTCCTGCCCAACCCCAGAAGACTGAGGGTCATCAGCCTGCCATCCCTGTAACCCACCCATGCCCCCTCCACCACAGCCCTGTCCTCTTCCCAAACCTGGGCTGTGCACCCCTCTTCCACTCCTCTCCCACCTCAGATCCTGTAGCCAGGCTGCTCTGCTCTGCACTACCCACCATGGGACTGTGGACAGGTTTTCACCTGCCTGTGCCTCAGTGTCCCCTTCTGTGAGTAGGAGTAATAGCACTTATCTCCCAGGATTGTGGGATAAATCGGCCAGAATCTGCAAAGCTTAGAGAGTGCCCAGCACACAGCACTACGAGGCCCGTCTGCAACCACCCTAAGTGCAGCAATGACAGCTACAATCGCCACTGGCTTCCCCTCTGTCCTGGCTCAAATCAAACTCAAAACCACGTGCACCCCTGGCCCCTTCACTTCCCTTTCCCCTCAGCATCTCCCTCTCCCTTTTGTCCCTGTCTTGTCCAAGGCCTTCGGTCTCCCAGCCCAAATCCAACAGGCACCTGCCGATGCCCAGCCAGCTGTTCTCCTGGGCTTCAGCTGGACCAATGGACCGAAAAAGGGTTCCCCTGGAGTCCCAACCCCACGGCCAAGGACCCAGTCACCTCCCTGCACCTAGGCTACTCAGCCTATCTCCCCTTCTGGTCACCTTGGCCCAGCCAGACCTCTCCCGAGGCCCTGACACCATGGCCAAGGGCACTGTTCCTGAATAGCCAGCGTGCTCATCCACCAGGAACTGCGGCTCCCCCCAGTCCAGCCTAAGGCCTTGCTTCGACCAGAGAGAGAGCCTTGGGGAAGAAGGTGATGATGGCAGCTCACCAGGATGCGTTGGGCTGGGGTGCTTGCAAGGGTGTGGAGGTGCACAGGAGCGGGCTCTGTATGGCAAGGGGGTGGGCAGAGATACCTTAGGACAGGCTCTGAGTGACCAGCTACTGGACCAATGAGGCAGGGCAGTGGAGAGACCCTGCGTACCTGGGGGGAACCCTGGAGCCAGGCTGAGCACTGGTCTCCCCATCCCCATCTGGTGCAGCAGGGCCGGTTCCCGGCCCCTCCCCCTCTGCCTCCTCTTGGGTCGTCCTCGGATAGGAGTGGGAGTGGCAGTGTTTGATGATGTGATGCTACCAGCCAGTACAGGGTTTAAAGAACACAGTGCTGGTCCCTCCTTCCTATTCCCATCCAGGCTTGAAACACATCTGCCCCTCAAGAGTGAGCTCAGTAATCACCGCCTCCAGGAAGACCCCCATTCTATGCTCAGGCTGTGGCTTGGGTGAGGGGCCGCTCACACTGTGCTGAGTAACTGCATGCTTCCCCGCAGGCCTAGGGGATCACAGAGGCTCCACATGAGATCATCGCAGACAGGTGCACGCGGTGACGGCACGCACACACGGACACGCTGGCGCCGGATGCAGCGACGGCACGCATGCACGGACACGCTGGCGCCTGATGCGGTGACGGCACGCACGCACGGACACGGTACACGCTGGCGCCAGGCACAGCGCATTGCAGCAGCCACGCCCCGAGACATCAGTCCACTCGCCTCCCCAGCCAGCCGGCAGGAGGAAGGTGAGACACGGCTGAGGCCGCCGGATGAGGCCACACTGCTGGAAACGCAGCGCTGGGCTCAGACGCAGCCGTGCTCCGGTTGCTGCCCACACGGCCCCTCATAGACGCAGGTGGCGCACCTCGGCCCGAGAGCCCCGCGTTCCTGCTGGGTCACCTCGGGGTCCTGCCACATCTGCCCTAGCTCTGACTCCTGTAGGAGCCCCGCCCCAGCCACTCTCCCACGGCGTGTTGGGCCCCTCCCTCGCCATGTGCAATGCTGGAGGCGGCAGTGCTTTTTATAGGAGCGGGTATATTTAACTCCCTTCCTGGTCCCGGGTAGGCTGGGGGATGGAGAGGACCCAGCCCTGCTATGGGCTCTGGCCCGTAACTATGACCGCAGTGAGGTGGCGCGTGGGTCATGACGGCCTTGGTGTGGAGCCCTCCGTGTGTAAAGAAAAGGAGACAGCCCCCAGCCTGCTGGTTGTCGGGAGAGGAGGCTGAGGACCCTGAGAGAGGGGACCTCCCACCTGAGCACATCTTTAAATCCACGGGGCTCCGGGCCTCTTGCTCACAGGTAGTGCAAACTCAGTTCTTGCCCTGGCCCTGGCCCCAGCTGCCAGCGCAGACTTGCCTCCTCCCCAGGGCTCAGCCCACTGGGAGGATTCAGGCACCTTCCTGCAAGACTCAGGTCCTTCTCTGAGTCCATACCCTCCTGGACTGGCCAGGAGGGAGGACAAGCCAGCTGCTCACCTACCTGCTCTCCCAGCCCACTGCAGGCCCCTGCAACCCCATGTCCTCTCACATGCCTTGGGTCACAAACCACCCATGGTGCTGCGCTGCCCTGACCACAGGGTTCCTGAATCTGGAGGGGAACAGCAACCCCACCGGGAGGAGGCCCCTCAGAGGCCACAGGCCTCCACCACTGCTGCAAGGCCGCTCTGGCCTCTATCACCTCGGCCATGCAGACAGCTCTCCCCTCCCCACAGTCCAAAAGGAGCCTGGCACTCTGAGGGGCCCTTGGGATCCCACTGGAACAGCCTGGGGAGTTGGAGGGCCATCAGGAGCTGAGGCTGGACGCCAACAGACAGGTTGCAGGGCTAGAGCCCAGGGGTAGGCCGGGTTCCCCAGAGCCACTGCCCCCCATTCCCACTGCCCAGCTCCTCGCCCCAGGCCCAGCGCTGACCCTGCCCAGAGTCCCTGGGACCAGGAGCTGAGTAGCCTCACGTGGGAGAACAGGCTGCCCGATCACTGGCTCAAGGCTCCTGGCGTAAAGGACAGTTGACTGGAGGCAACGCCAGCCTGTCCGGCGGCCCAGGAGACAGAGGCACCTCCATCTCACACTCCTGAATCCAGCTCCGGTTCCCAAGTGCCCAAACTCCACACTCCCAGGGAAGACTCCACCCTGTCTTCAGACCACCGAACACCCCAAGCTGCCCCCACCTCTCAGCACAGGTGGGCAGCACAGAGCTGCAGACAGTGGGATGGAGGCCCCGCCCCCACCAGGCCCAGGTCCACAGCCACCTCCTCCAGCCATCATCCCCCACTCCCAAGACCTGAGAGTGGCCCAGACGACCTATCCAGCCCAGGCCCTGTCCTCAGGCCACTTCAGGATTCCCCAGGTTGTCCTCCCCACCCCACGTCTTGGTCAGGAAAGCTTCACAACACAGCCCTCGAACAGACAGCCCTGCACACGGGACTGAACGCAAGACCAGGGAAGGGGCAGGTGCTGAGAGGACAGCTGGTTGCCCCTTCCCAGCCTGCTGGAGAAGGACCTGCAGCAGGTCTTGCTGAGGGAGCAGCCAGTCTCCCATCCCTGCTCCCTCTAGGTGCTGACCGTTCCCTCTCTCCCCCTCTCAGTACCCTGATGACAGTGACCCAAACACCAGCAGCCACCCAGGAGGACAGGCCCCACCTCACAAAGCAGGTCAACAAGGTCAGCCCACTGTCTCCATCATTTGTGCCCCCCACGACAGCCTGCGGAGTCCCAGGGACAGACTCTGGCCTCCGGGCCCCTCCCCCAGCCCAGCCTCCCCTCTGGGCTCCTGTCCACTTCCAGCCTCTGTCCAGCCCCACCCCTTGCTGAACAGGGAGAAGGGAGGACAAAGGAGAGGAGCCCCCTGACCAGACTGGCCCTGCCCCACATGGGCAGACACCATCTCACAACCTGTGGGTCCCAGGACTGGTTCCCAATTTTGAGGTTGAAGGGGCCAAGGCCTGAAGTGAGAGCCACCTCCAGACCCCCAGCCCATCTGCTGCCCACAACTGTGGACTCCCAGGACAGGCCCAGGTGCCCTTGTCCAGCCTCCTCCCCACTCCAGACACACTTCACACATCTGGTGTGCACACCCCCAAATGGCCCTGACTCCCAAGTGTGCCATGGCGCATCCAGGTCCCCAAACTCAGCCCCACTCACCATCAGGAGGCGTCGGAGGCACTGGGGTAAAGTGGGTCCCAGGTTTGTCTGGAAGAAACAAATCTCCAAGTTAGGACTCTGAGCAGGTCCTTCCCTGTCCCATCCCTTTGCCCAGACTGAAAGGGGTCACCCCTGCCCAGCCCTCCCCCACCCCAGAGATCCAGGCCGGGAGGCAAGGATGCTGAGGGGTCCAACCCTGACCCCATGGGCTGGTTGAGGTCGTGGGGTAGATGCAGGTAGAGGCCCTTGCTTTTCTCCGCCCCTCCAGCCAAATGGTCATGGCCTCACACCTGTCAGATGGGGCCTCAGCCACAGGGGTGCAGGCAGCTCCCGATTCCCTAGAGTCCACGCAGGCCCTGCCTTACGTGAAACTGCCCCTCCCTCCCCAGCTACCGCAGAAAGTGTTTCTGCAGCTTTGAGTGAGGGCCGGAACCCAAGGACAGGCCTCCAGTGACCCAGAGGTCTGGAGGGTGACCCATCCCATCACCAGGAAGCTGCGCGCAGCCCCTGGGGTTCCACCGCGGGTCCCAGCGTTTATGCCGGCTCCGGGTTTGGGGCTCGGCCAGTGCAGCGGCCCCGCCCAAAGCCACCTACAGTTGTTGAGGAACAGCAGCACCGCGAAGCCCAGGGTGGCGGTGGCCAGCAGGATCAGGCAGGCGTTGCAGGGGACCATGAAGCCCCGTACCAGGAGGGACGCGCCAGGCGGCTGCCGGGTGTCCCGCGCCAGCGGCAGTGGAGGCATGGCCCGGGTCTCCGGCTCTGCACCCCACTCTGAGCGCGGGGACTCCTCACGGGGTGCCCTTAGGCCTCTTCAGGGCTGCTCGCCCCATCCTGGGACCCCTGGGGCAGTGACAGCAGCTGTGCTCTCAGAGGTCACCCAGGCACAGCCCTGGGGACGTCAGGTCCCGGTGCCAGCCCTGCGGGCTCATAGTGGGAGGCGTGCAGGATTCTCCTGGAGTCGAAATCCCAAACGTGGGCTCAGAGCAGAAGAGACCGGGAGCCCGTGGCCACCGCTGCTGCCTGCCACCTCCGCCGGGCCGGCTGCAGAGGCGGTGCGCGCGGCAGGCAGGTGCGCGGGGTTCGGGCAGCTCCTGTCCCCGGCAGGGGCGGGAGTGGCGAAGGCAGCGCGCAGGCAGGAGGGGCGGCCGCGTCAGGAGCGAGGAGAAAGCGGAGCCTGCGGAGGCCGCGCCGGCTCCCGGGCTCCCGCCACTGGGCGAGCAGCGCCAGCTCCCCTCGCCGGGCAAGGGAGGCGAGTGAGGGGCGAGGGCGCCGCGGAGGGAGGGCGGGAGCAGAGACAAAGGAAGCCGCCTCCGGGGACCCCGGCGTCCGCGGGGAGTCGCAGAGGATCGCGCGGACGGGAGAGCGCGGCACAAAAGGCAACGCCGGGCAGGCTGGGGCGGGGCCGGGGCCGCTGGGGGCTCTGGGGCTGGGGCTGGGATGGGACTGGGGCTGGGGGCGCTGGGGCTGGGCGGGGAATAGGGCTGGAGCTGTGGCTGGGACTGCGCCGGGGGCGCTGGGGCTGGAGGTGGGACCCGGACTGAGTCGGCGGCGGGGATGGGCCGGGGGAGCAGGGGTCGTGCAGGGCAGGGTCTCCTGCTGGAGCGGAGGCGGGGGTGGCCGGGGCAGGTCGGGAGGAGGAAGCGCCCGGCGAGCAGTAGCTGGACTGGGCCGGTCCGCTCCCCGCGCCCCGCGCCTGCTCGGGTGAATCGGAGTCGCCGCAGGGGGCTCGGGCGGGCCGCGTGCGCTCGCCTGTGCGCGTCGTGCGTGTGCCCGCGGCCCCACCCTGGCGGGGCGTATGTGGGGGAGGCCCCAGGTGGGCGCACGCTGGAGAGTGGAGGTGAGCGGCCCACGCTCCCCTGGGAATTGGCGGCGGCACCTCCAGTCGCCCGCGGCCCCCCATTCCCGCGCGGGGCGGGGTCATGCAAATGAGCCCCATGCAAATAGCGGCGGGGCCTCCTTGCGGGCCTGGAGCGCTCCCCAAAGGCGGCTCCGGGAACGTCTAGGCCCTGACGTTACTGCCGCCCGGGGTGGGGGATGGGAACTCGGCCCAGAGGGGACCCCTGTCACGGAGTCCCGTCCCCATGCCAGCCCCCGTAGGTCGCCCCTTTCCCTGGCCGCTGCCCAGCAGGGGAATCCCGGGGTAAACGAGGGGCCCCTCTGGTTCGGTGTGTGCACCATCTCTACAGTTCACGCCAGGCCTCCACGACTGCACCTCGGCCCTCGCACACCCCTAACTACCCACAGCCTTTGGAAAAAAACACTGCAATTACCTACCCCCATCCCCCAAACCCCAGCTCCAGGAAAGCAAGGACCTGGTGCCAGGGCGCTTCTGCTACGCCGGTCCCTCCAGCTCCGCGGACCAAGCCGTCTGCCACATGGTCTCACCCACGCTGCCAGCAGCCACCAGTGCCTCCACGTGGTCACACCCAGGCCTCACCTCAGTCCACCCCGGAGGATCCACTTCCCACACCTGCCTTTCTGAAGTCCCCCAGCCGCGTCTGTGGGCCCCTCGACCCCCACAGCCTCCATCTGGACTCTCCCCAAGGCCTCCTCCCCTCCAGGTGCTGGGTCTCACCGTCCAGTCCTGCTCGGATTCCTCCAAGAGCCCCGCCCCAATCCCACCAACCCCACCTCAGCTGGGAAGGCCCTGTCTTGCCAGTTCCCTCTCCTGGGACTCCTTTTCACCCCACAGCCAGGCGTCCAGCCCATGTCCGCACCGAAGTCACCCCTGCCCCATCACCCACACTGGAGGCCTCCAATATCTCTATGGCCCTGGAGTCTGCTGTTTCAGTGAAACCTTGCAGGAAAAATCCAAACGCAGCCAAGGGGTCTCCCCCGCCCCAAGCCACGTCCCATCCAGAGAAGCTGTCAAAGGAACCACTTGGAGACCCACCCATCCTGGCCTCACCCTCTCCTCAGGGCAGCTCCTATCCCAACCACTCCGCCCCGCTGGACCTTGGCACTGTCCATGACAGGTGGAGTGTTCCAGCGGCACTGACTGTGGGCACCGCGGGCAGGGACTTTTTATCTCCCCAGCATAGGGTGTGGCCCAGGGACGAGAAAACCCAGAACAGGACTTGCTGTGCAGAGCTCAGGTGGTTCACACACACTCCGTTTCTCACCTCCCAGCTTAGAGTTCCAGGGGCAGTGCCAGGGTCAAACCCAGGCTATGCTACCAGGTCACATGCCAGCCTGCCTGCTGCCACCACCTCCAGCCATGGGATCTCTTGGGGGGCTCTGCAGGAGGAAGTCTTGCAGGTACCAGGATGTGGGAGGGGTGGTGGAGCCCCAGGTATGGGCTGGTAGAGGGGCCTCAAACACTGCCTGGGAAGTTTGCCCCCACACAGATACCATGGAATCTACCAGCCAAGGAGGCCCAACAGGCTGAAAGTCACATGGGGGGCTTGGCTGGCCCAGGCCAACACGGGAATGGGGCTTAGGGCCTCTTAGGCTGAGCCAGGGGGAAGGGGGACCAGGCAGGCAGCCTGGCTCCACCCAGCCCCAGTCAGTGTCTGAGCCCCCCACAGAGGCACAGATGCCTTCAGAAAGACAAAGGGCCATTGAGGCCCCAGGCCCAGCCAGGGAGGGGAGCTCAGGCGACTTGAGCTATTTTAGGATCTTCAGGGAAAAATCATTCAGCCCTCACCAGCCCATGCAGGCTCATGTGTGGGAAAGTACAGGGTGCTCTGAGCCAGGCAGGAGCCCCCTGGTCTCTGAGCTCACACTCACAGCACCATTCACTGCACACTCACTGCCACGAAATAGGTGCCCCAGGCCAGCCCAGCACCACCCCTCCTCCCCATGCCCCACCCCTGGATCCCCGCCCAGCCCCATTGCGGGCCCAGCCCCAGCTTCAGTCCCAGCACCCCCTCCCCACCCAGCCTAGGTATAGCCCTAGTCCCAGCTGCTATGCATACACTCAGCTATACCCACAGGCACCAGGTGTCACACTTGCATCCCCCCCCCACCTGCCCGCATAGACACTGATGTCCCCCTCCACCGGCCCATGTAGACACTGAAGTCCTCCTCCACCTGCCCATGTAGACACTGATGTCCCCACACCTTCCCGTGTAGACACTGATGTCCCCCTCCACCTGCCCTCGTAGACACTGATGTCCCCACACCTGCCCACGTAGACACTGATGTCCCCCTCCTGCCCGCATAGACACTGATATCCCCACACCTGCCCGCCTAGACACTGACGTCCCCCTCCACCTGCCCGGGTAGACACTGGGTGTTCCACACACCTCTGTGTAACATTAATTGTGTCTCTCAACCCCCACCCACACACTGGGAAGGCATGTTCCCCCCACACTCACACATGTCTCTGTGTAGACATGTGCACGCTCTGGTTGAGCACTCACAGGTACTTATCCTGCCCTCAGAGGGAGGGTTGGGGCCTGGAGAGGTGGGAGCCCTGGGGCCCTCTGGCAATTGACAGGTCCCAGAGGGGCTGCGGATCAGTTCCTTTGGAAAAGGGTGAGGTGGGTGTGGGTGCCATTGGCCACACATTGCACATGCAGGCACACAGGCTCTGATGCAGACACTGATTCCTGGTCTACCTGAGTGCACTTGGTGCCCCCAACCCCAGCCAAGGGAAACAGCTGCCATGGAGTGGTCAGTGCTTACAGGGGCTGCCAGCCAGGGTCCAGGGGAGCTCTTCCCCATGGGAGAGGGAATGGCTGGCAGCGAGATGGCAGCTGGGAGGCATCCGAGGCAGGAATCAGCCATGGGGTCATGGCAGTTGCTCTCCAGCCCTCTCCCCTGCCGCATGTCCACAGCATGTTTCTCCCACCCTCACCCAAACCACAGGGACCACTGTTCCCTGCACTTACTTCACCCCTCAAGGCACAGCTCACCCCTGGCTTCCTTGGGAAGCCCTGTGGAGGTGACCCTAAGAGGATCCATGGCCAACCCGTGAGTGTGTGAATGGGGATGGGACCGATAAATGCATCAGTGAAGTGCAGGGCAAACCCTGTCCGCGCCCAGCCCTGTCCATGCCCAAACCTCCCCTGGGGAGAGAAGTGGGTGCACAGCCCCTCCCCACC